TTTCGTGGGGTTAAAGTAGGAGCTAGCTACTTATGCAGTTTTACACATGCGTGGGGCGGTGTTGTCAGATGTAATTATATTCTAATATATATTCTAATTATATATTAATATTATTTTTTGGATTTATTCATAACCAACAAACATTATTGATTTTTTAATCTCCCACTTTTGAACTGCACGTGCGCAAAAGGTAGAGAGTAGCCACCCTCCCCTTAAAAACGGGAACAAGGTCATCTATTCAAAATATAGGGAATAAGCGGTATATGTGTGGTAAGTATATGATTTTACTACCCACTATCGCCATCTTGTAGCCATCACAGTAACAAATAAAATAAATACAGATTCCTTCTTTAGGTTTGTTTTGGTTATACAATTCTGAACTGTTTAAAGAACAAATATGTGGTTATTTACGCAATATTTTGTTTATTCTTTTTCTATGAGTTTGTCTATTTTATGATTCTTTTGTAAGTGGTTTATTCTGTGGGTTTAGTTAATTGAACTTGGTGATTTATGTGAATTTAGTCATTATGGATATTACGGTGAGAAATTGTACCGATATTACACCTCTTCACGTGGTTCTTGCTGAACAATGAAATGTTAATTACAGTCTAAGTTTTTTACTTAGTTTTAAGTATAGGTTGTGAACTGCGACGTCAGTTTTTTTAAGTTGGGTTTAAAAAAATTTCTTCGCCTTTAAATGAGGGCGAAACCCTGCCTCAACAAAATGAAATGTCACGGGCCGCCACTGGACATATCATTTTAGAAATCCTACTACGTAGTAAGTACTAGGTGGCTATCTTTTTTTCTTTCAATTTCTCCCTCAACTTTCCTAGAATATAATGTAAAACAACTTCGGGCCAATGTTGGGTTTCAATATTGGACCATGCTAGAAAAAATCTGACGAAAGATATATTGGGGTTTTTCCTATTTTTATACGTAGTATCTGCTATTAAAGTATTTCACGTTAATTATGGGATGAATGTCGAAGAAAACGTTTTTTTTTGCAATATTTTGAAAACAAGATCTAATTGAGCAAAATGAGTGTCAAATTAAAAATTGCTGTCGATCAGTGTCATTATAGTCCTAGAACTACCTAATAAGCCAACTTCTACAAAGCCACTTAGCATGGTTTTATGTTTGCGTTAGGCTTACTCATTGGGTGTGTCTAACAAACATAAAATTTATTAATCGTATTTCAATAACGCAATAACGTTTAAATAGTTTTCTCCGTTGATATTATTTAATTATTATCATTAAGAACATAAATTTACACTTGTAAAAAGTATACCTATTATAAGAAAAATAATAGTTAATTTAGTTGGAATGTGAGAAAGACATGTGATCCGCATCAAACTAAAGGTATTAAAAGAGAAATTTATTCAAACGTAAAGTAGGTAGGTAGGTACTTGGTGTAAACCCAGGCAAGAATGAACTTCCACTGTTCATTTGTTATCTTAGCAATTAATACATTGTAACTGTAAATTAATAGAAATAAAAATAAAAAAATATTAAATTTCCTAGAAATGGTTATAAATTAATTTATTTAAAAACAGATCAATATTACAAAATTGATTTTATTTATTTAAGGTTACAAAATATTTTCCGCGAGCCATAAACTACCACAGAAGAAAGTTTGATCTATAGAAGAGAAATTTTACTGTATTGGATTAAGTCAATTTCTTAATGTTTATATCAATACAAATTAATTTTAAATTAACAAATTACACAAATGGTAGGAATATATTTTATTAAGATCTTGCCCAGGTTTTTTCTGTAGTTATTATTTGCTTAAGCTTGCCAAATCATTTTTAAATATTAAAAAATAAGGACTTAAAATTTTTTGTTTTACCATTTTTTATCAAAATATTATTATACACTTAGTTGAGCGTGGACCAAACTATAACGAAAGCTAAATATTTATTTGAACTTTTATTTGATTAATTAATTAAAGGATATTTTTAAATCGAATTTATGCATGTAATTTAATAAAAATTTTAATTAAAAAACAATAATTGAAAATGTTTTAAGTTCTATTAAGTTGATTAATTCCCAGCATAGATCTTTATTGTATATATATGTCCTATTATAAAAAAATAACTAAAAAAATAATAATTTATTGATCTGTATAATACAGATCAATAAATTATTATTTTTTTAGTTACTTTTTTAAATCAGTTAATAAGTTGTTACATGTACTTCCATACCAAATCGCACATTCTTGTAGTTCAATATTTTTTCATATTCATTTTTATTATATGAAATATCATACTTATAATAGTAAAATAAAATTAACCTATAATAATAATAATAATACTGCATTTAACGTTTAAAAAGATGACCATAAGTTCTACTATCCTTTTATATAATTACCTAAATAGTCTTAAAATTATATTTATTTAAAAAAACATAACCAGATTTTTTGTATATACGTTAAATATTCTTTTTCTACTACCACCTTTAAAACTCCCTTTATCATACATGTTTCCATGACACTAAGTATTTTAAATACACATTGACAAGTTGTAACTTTATATTCAGTTGTACTGACCTTTCAATTTCGCCGGCAGTAAACTAGATTTAACTGATTTCGGGTGGAGATTCCACCGTGGAGTGCCTATAAAAATTTATCTTTACTTTTACTGTAAATTCTATATCGGATTTAGTTAGTCCATTTACAAGTGATAAATTTCAATTTAAACGTACACAGATCATACCTACGATGGAATTGTTACTTTATTATTTTAAATATTTAATTTAAATCATTTTTAGATAATAATAATTATTTTTCGTAGAAAAACTATAGTATGCAACTTGTTTAACTTTTCTATACACTTATTTAGTTAATCACTTGATCGCAAGCTTGGTCGTGCCTAAATTAAATTTGTGACTAAAATAGCGTTTATTAAACTTGATACATAAAATACTATTCCTATCTCGTGGTATCAATTATAAAAGTTTTGAGGTATAGTTTAGAAGGCAATTATAATAGTATATTATGTATCAAGTTTGAGGCACGAGCGAGCTTGCGAGCGAGTTCTTAAATTAATGAGTGTATAGAAAAGTTTATGAACGAGGTGCATACTATACTTTTTCTACGACAAATACTTATTATTATCTTAAAATGATCAAAAATAGTATAAAGCGCCATCTATGAAACAATAGGGGAATCTGTGTGTCTGTTTTATAAACACAGATTATAAAGGTTATAAATCGAAATGTATTTCTTGAAAATTGACAGTTTTTCACAGTGAAAGTAAATAAAATGTTTTATGAGCACTTTACAGTGGAGTCCGTGTCCGAATTTAAGTTATAGTTTACTGCCGGCGAAATTAAAAGGTCAGTACAATGTTCATATAAACTTTTCAAAAATTGGCGTTGAGAAACTATTTAATACTTTTGTATTTTTGTATTGAGATAATAAAATAATTTTCACATTTAGTATTATTTTACAAGAAATGCAATTTATTTTAACGATTGTATGACATTTGACAACTGTCAACTAACTTAAAACTAACTTAAGCCCGTGACTAAAGCGCCATAAAGCCACAACTTGTCAATGTGTATTTAAAAGGTCACTTAGTGTCATGGAAACATGTATGATAAAGGGAGTTTTAAAGGTGGGAGTAAAAAAAATATGTAATAAACGAAATATTGCTTGTTTTTAAAATAGCTTTTAAAATTACTACTTGAAAAACGTTTTTTTTTCGTTTACGGGGACCTCATGTTGGCGGCTCCGGAGCACTGCCCTGATTGCCCTAAAGTAAATCCGGCCCTGACCTTAATACAATTTGACATATTTGTTCTGTTTGTTTGCCTGTCAAGCAGCAACGGAGCAATGGATCGACGTCATTTTTTGCATAGAGATAGTATTTTATATACTTTTTTTGTCTTTTAATCCACTAGGCTACCTAGTTTTTCCAATAATTTCTCGCGTCAGATTTAGGTTACAAATTTTTTTACATTTATACAATGGTGATTAGTTTTGTATAAAATAGAATTTGATTTTTCGTTGAAAGTTATACTTGTAAAAACATTTAGTTTGCCATTTCTCTGTGCACAGCCTCATTTAATAACTCAAATGATTTCCTCAAAACCACAAAAATATAATAGCCCATAAGAAATTTGGTTCTATAAAATATTATTATTATACATTTTAACATAAAAATGGTCGGATTTAAATATGATTTTTTACCAGTTAGGTTAAAAATTGGCATCCGCTTATATTTTACATAATTATACGTACTTCCCTATGTAATACATATTAGGTAAACAAAGAAAAAGTATTGAGCTACACACTTAGTTAAATTATTTTAAAACTTTTTTTAATTTTTTGAAGATTTGAATCGTCAAATTTCAAAAGCGGCCATCTCCTTTAAAGAATATTTTAAGTAAACGTCAAAAAAACATTCTAAACAGTAATGGGTAAAAAATAAATATATTTTGAAAAACTTGTTCATATGGTACCTAACTAAAAATATTTTTTCTACAAAATAAGTAACCAGATTTAAGTTTTAATTAAAAATACATATATTTCAAAAGGGAAATGGGCATTTTAAGTACATTTTTGTACTTAAATCATCAATGGAGATGGCCGTTATTAAAACTAACATAAAACTTTAATGAATTATTTTCCTTGCAAATAGCCGTTTTTGTTGGGATATAATTTTGCACTAATATACTACGTAATATTTCGATTTTATTAGTGTAAATAACTCATTAAAAAAAATTGGAGATGACAGCTTTTGAAATTAGACGATTCATTTTACGAATTAAAAAATAAAAAATTCTTAAATTTGATAATAAATAATTATTATTTTTTATAATATTAATAGTAATAATTTATGATATTATAACTAATAATTAAGCTAACCTAAAAACCTAATATTTTAAATACAATAAAAAATAAATTATTTCCTTATTTTTTATGTTTAGACAATTAAATATTAATACTGGAACAAAATGTAATTATATAAAATTTTAATATTATCAACATGTTTTAGGGTTGGTCAACACAGCCGACTTTAGCTGCATTGCAGGAAAAAAATACAAATAAAAAAGATATAAAACCAAATAACTGTGAAGCAAAAGATAGTTCCTTCCAATTTAGTAAGCCCGTAAATGTGGATTATAGCAATTATCAAAAAGTTAATTTTGCAAGGAAGAATCGTAAACTCTCCCCCTTATCACATAAAAAAGATAATGGAGTTGAGTTGGTTACGTTATTGGCTAAAGATAGGAAATTTCCCCCTAAAATTCCGTTGACTACTACGGATATCACGTCTGAGAAAAAACTAGGGTAATGTTAATTACAATTACAAATTAAAATTTTACTGGCGTATTTCATTTTAATGCGACTGACAACAATTTTAATTTAATTGATTTTATAAACACCTAGTTAACAGAAAAAACATAATGTTTGACAAAATGTGTTTTAAATTTCCCCAAAACCACAAAATAACAAAATCAATAGAACAGACAATTTCATTTCTGTATCTAAATGGTTTACCAATGTCTGAACTTACCATTAAAGAATCACTTCTGGTGTGTCTGTAAAAAACGTTTTTGTTTTGTCTTCGAAATACAAACATTCAAATTCGTATATATATTTTTTTAATCGAAAAGTTTATTCAAGGGTAATTGGTAGATATGGGTTTTAATTAATCTAAAAAAAAATTAATTGAACACATTCATAAAGTTTTTTCTTAAAACAAAACAACATCGTTTTAAGCCAAAATTCGGCAATTTTCAAAATTTAAAGTGCTCTCACGCGAACAATTTTTGTCAGATTTTGAAATTTTATAAAAATTTTAGCTTTATCTATCTAGGTAGGTACTTTATTGGGTTACAATTTCAACGCAAGCAAAAAAAAATTGTCAAATCGTTTATGTACGTGTACGTTAGGCTGATTTAACAAAACATCAATTTTGAAATTGAGTGAGTGCCGATCTGAAAGTTTTTAGATAGTGCAAAAAGCAATATTTTAAAAAATAAACTAAAAATTATTAAAAAAAAATGGTTTCCATAAAATTTTGTATAATTTCTTTAATTTTGAATATAATTCAACAAAACTTCATAGGATTGTCTGTGGTAGATTTTAAAGGAGTTCGTGAAGTTTAATGATTTATTTAAAAACAATTGTTTTTGTTATAAACAAAGTTCAATACCCAAAAAATGTATCCGAGAATGATAGTGCGGATAAAAACAAGAAAGTTTTTAAAAAGTAGCATAAATGTGTCCTGCAATGGACTAGCAACTAATAGTTAATGGATAATGGAAGGAGGTGGCCCAATAAAATAAGAGTATTAATTAAATCATTAATTTCATTTTTAAAGAATCTTCAACTAAAAAAGATATTGTTTAAGTTCCCGCGTGACCAACAAGAACCCAATGGATCATATGTAATTCCTATTTTAAATAGATGCTCAGGGGAACAACAGTGCCCAAATCTTATTCTACATAAGGTGGTAATAAATTTTCTACCAGTATATTTTATTTCTGCGAACCATGGATTTTCCACTGTTTATTTTTTAATAAGGCATAGTTACCGCCCCTGTTGATTGAAGAGACCTTCCAAAAACTCAACCAATCATCATTTACCTTTTTGTTTGACAAGGCTAACAAATTCTCTGATGGTATTTTTATTTCTTTTTGACAATTAAGTTAGATTCCTCCTTTGCCACATTATCTGCATACTCATTCCCCAATATGCCCACATGTCCAGGAATCCAACAAAGCTGAACATTCCCGTCCTTACTTAGGATATCAAAGTAAAGGATTCGAATTCCCAGAACAATATTACTAGTTTTACTATTGATTTTACTATTATCAATTTTTAAGTGCACTGTATGAATCAGAGAAAATTACAGCTTTTTTTAATATTCCTCCTGTGTATTTAACTGTAGCCATGACAAAATAAATTGCATATAGTTTTGCAGTGAAGATTGTAGCCTGCGTACAAATCCTCACAGCCTAAACTGAACAATGTAGATGCTTGAGGATAGACCGATCCATCTGTATATATGTAAGAAAATTCAGGCCATTTATGTTCTATACAATTTCTAAAAATCACATTAGGGGCACTTTCACACCTTTTATCAATACCCACATTATGGCCATAATAACCCGGGTTATGGGAATATGAACAAATTGTCTAAACAGGTCCAACTTAAATATTCCCCCTACTTGATTCACTATAATCAAGTCCCTAAAAGATGCAAACCTCAATAGGAATTAAGGAGAAAAACTTCAGAAGAGTAAACGTCTCTTTTGGCAGATGACTGAACTAGGACTTTCATTACTTCCAACTTGCTTATAATCAAAGAATCTCCAAAGGACAAAGATTTTAGTATATATTTATCAGCAAGCCACTGTCTTCTAAGGAATAGGGTGGTTGCCCAGATTCTATTTGTAAAGAATTAGTGGAAGTCGATTTCATTGCTCCCATGCAGATTCTTAGAGCAGCAATATAAGTGTTTTAGGGTCACCACCCCACCACACCCTAGTTAGACTTTTGAGCATATTCACCAGTCTAAAGCATTTATTGTAAACGTCGGTAACATGTAGTTTCCAATTTAAACGTTTGTCAAGAAAAACCCCTAAGAACTTGTAACTATCCACCAAAGTAAAAAATATGGCTTGACATTTTTCGGCTCTCAGAGACAAACCCCTATCCTGAGGCCATTGAGACACCAAATATAGTGAAGAGTTTAATCTCGTTTCTTATAATTTAACATCTTTATGGGTAGAATACATAGCAATATCATCTGCATACTGCAGAATGTTCACGCCTATACCCACCGCATCCAAAATATACCTAGTGTAGACATTAAAGAGCAAGGGACTTAAGACTGACCCCTGAGGTAGGCCTTTATAGGAGGTTCTGAATAACTTTATCCCCCATGAAATATTCACTTAAACATTTTTTTTGTATGTCAAATTATATATTATTTCAATCCAATTTTTGGGGAGACCTATTTCTTTAACTGCCTAAGTATTTTCGGAATGACGTTGTCTTATGCTGATGCAGAGTCCAAGAACACTGCCAGGGTTTTTTCCCACTAATGAAAGTTTCATTATGAAACCATTGACTATGTCGACATAAAGGTTTGCTACATTGTCACAAACCCCCCTTCCCCTTTCTGAACCTGAATTGGAAAGGTGGGAGAAAATTTTTATTTTTAATCCACCATTCCAAATGAATCTTAAGTAAAGGTTCAAAAACCTTTTGTATAGAGGAAGATTGGACAATTGGCCTGTAACTAAGATGAAATTGAGGCTCCTTACCCGCTTTAAGTATAGGTACTATTGTAAAATTGAACCAATCATCAGGGACTTGTCCATTACCTAGTAGAATGGTGTTAAAAAATTCAAGAAGGTAATTTTTAAAATTTTTAGGGAGATTTTTTAACATTCAGATTTTCATCCGGTCCCGGGGCCGAATCTTTTAGGTTATTTAAAACGCTTACCAGCTCATTCATATTATAAGGTGGATTAAAAAAGTCCCCCGAACCCTGATAGTTGATCTCAGAAAATTGAGGTATATTCGCTCATGAAGTCAATAAACGTAGGTTTCCACGCAACATCAGAGTTGGTAAAAAATCCTCTATTAAAGGCCTGATATAACCTTTGATTGTCCTCCACATTTCGAATAAATTGTTATCCCTATTTAGATTTGAGGCAAACTTAATGAAAGAGGTCTTTATCTTATTTTTGAAATTTAATTTTACCTCCGCAATTATTTTTTTTGCCTTAATAAATGATGTCAATAACCCATCCTTGTAAAACGGCTTGACAGCCGCTGCCCTCTGAACGATCCAAGCAGAGCACTCCTTGTCCCACCAGGGACAGAATTTTTTTGAAAAGCTAAATTTCTTTACTGGGATATTTTTGTTACTTGCTGACCTTAGATTTTTAGTAAAATTACTATAAAAATCCTCGCTCACACTCAATGGGGGAGAACAGTCAAGTTCGTGGACGAAACCTTCCCAATTTGCCAATTTGAAGTTCTTTTTTTTAACAGGACTACATATATTTTTTACCTTGGGATCTACCTACCTCTGCATAAATTAAAAGTGGAAAATGGTCACACAAGGGTAGTTTCCTTTACCAAACATGCCAAATTGGATGAGCACAAAGCCAAGTCAATTATACTTCGACCTTGTCTATTAAAAAAGGTGTTATTGCCATCATTAAACAGTACAATGTCATTTTGTTCAATAAAATCTCTAAGCAACTTACCATTCTTGTTACATATATAAATATTCCACGCCTGGTTGTGACAATTAAAATCTCCCACCCATATAAACATTTGACCTAAACTACGCAAAATTCTATCCAACAACCTTTTATTAATGTATGCATTTGGAGGAATGTATATCGACCCTACACAAATGTCATCTATCTGCACATTAACAAACTAAACCCTTTCAGAATCTGTTAAATTTATTGACATCTGTTTAAAATTAACATTGCACTTAATTAACAAAGCAGCCCCACATTTGCCGTCATCTCTATTATTTAAGATGGCATTGTATACAATGAATGATTTGGTATAATCCAAGTTTCCAAAAGAGGGATTGCTATTAAACATTTCAATAAATAGCTGTTTAAAATTTCACTTGACTTCTGCAATTTTAGTGAAATTAAAATTCTTTCTTATGTTAACAGGCTCCTCATCTAAGGTAGCTCCAGGCAGATTAGGAAATGTCGATGAAGACGAGCACAGGATATTTTCCGTACCTGCCAAAAAGAACCTTCCAGGGATTTTCTAAAAGGCGTCGTAAAAGAATAAATTATAGTTTGCCATAATTTTTTAAATCTTTTTTGTCTAATGAATTCCGGGCAACAACGATTTTTGAAATTTGTACCAACTTCTGTGGCAGAATGCTTTCCCTTGCAAAACACACAAGAACTGACACAATCAATATGGTCCCTCTCTGCATTATCCCCACATCTACTACAACGAGACTTACCTCTTCATTGGCTTAATGTATGGCATTTGAAGCATTGAATCACTGGATCCACGTATTTCTCCGTCGGAAAAGAAAACATAAATAACTCTAACTTGTCAGGGACAACATTACCCCTCGAAGTAAAAACAATTAGAGGTGTATTGACTAAAGAACTGATCCCATCTTTGTCCTTAACTTTTTTTTTTAATTCTCCTTATATTAATTATTTCCCTTGATTTTCCCACAGCCTTAATATTATTCTGGATTTCTTCCTCACTTATGTGACATAAGTTATGTCTACATCAATATTCCTAATGAGATCTTTGCATGTAATTAAATGTGTCGGAATAAAAGCCTTGAAATTATGAGACTGCAAGTTGATTATCCAAAAATTTGTTAGCCTTATCAAAATTAGGTATATTGAATGTTTAATTATTATTATAAAAAACATAAATAATTCGTTTAATCAGTTTTATTATTATAAACCAGACAATTAGAATTATAATACAATTACGATTACTATCGCTATCACTATCAGAAGCCGAATAATCTTCTGAATATTAGGTAACATTGTTATCCGATGGAAACTTTAATTCTCAATGAAACTGCTTATCCAATACATCGAAAATTTTACGCCGACTGCATTCCCATGTAGTGGTATTGCCTGTAATGATTAAAATCACTTGAAAAATAAATACTCAAATATACTATAAACAAAGAAAAGTCCCTTGGGGATTGGCTATCGTAAACGATAGAGAATCCCCGAGAGGCCAAAAACCCGACATGATGCAGCAGCTCGCCTTTGACTGCACGGTCTTCCGCGCTGCCAACCGAAAACTTCAACATAAAAACTAACGCCAAAATGCAGTGGTGCCTCGTGGCACAAGATCTTGCCAAATCATTATCATCAATAGATAAAAGCATAAAAGCAATTGGTAGACCGCTCATCTCTATCACTCGCATAACTTTTTCCATTGGTTTCAATAATAAGTTGACTGAAAAAAGCTTGCCGGGCACGTTTATGCTTGACGTTAGTTTATTACAAGAAATATCTTTTTTTATGACAAACAATTAATCAATAATGTTATAAATACCTTCGTTAACACCTTCCATCGAACGGTAGTCAGAAACTTCACTCGGAAAAACTGTACTGGCACTCTAATCAAGGCGCGAAATTCTAGTCTCCGAGTCGAGTCATTTTTTATCTGCCCTAGCTTTGAATACATATATACGGACTAACTCAAATGTTCTGACAATACGCAGTGGTGCTCCATGAAATGATAATATGTGGTCCTACTTGAAAATTTGAAGAAAAAAAAAATTAATTTTGGCCATTTTTTTCGGAAAATTTGCCACTGTGCGATGGTAAAAATAACTCTGGGAGATCAGTGTAAGGCGATGCCGATGGGGCCAGCCATACGTTCTTATACTCATACCCATACTCAAATCATTAAACTAGGCGAACTTGTTTAAAATCCTACCACAAACAATCGTATGAAGTTTTGTTGAATTATATTCAACATTAAAGAAGTTACACAACATTTTATAAAAACCAACCTTTTTCTAATTTTAAGATAATTTTTTTTAAACAAATGCCTTTGGCACCATACATTTTTTATATACATTTTTTGGTCTCTAAATTTTAGTTAGACTTTTTTAGCCCGGCACTCAATAAAATTCAAAAACGATGTTTTTTGTATCACCTTAGTGTACATATAAATACTATTTATTGACATAAAAGTGCAAAAATTAACTTTAGTGTTATAACTAAATACAATTGCAAGTAAGAACATTGCTAATAATAAAAGTTATAATTATTAAATGGCATTTAAATAAAATTAATACAAAAAGTGAAATTTAATTTGTGATTTTCTACTAAGAACTAAACAATAATTAATGGGATCCGACTAACAAATTGGTTTTATTATATTTTAGAAAAGAAACTATATGGAATAGGGAAGGGTCCGCTTACCTAAAAGAACTTACTAATCAAATGAATTTCAAACGTCAAAAATTAAAGGTAGGTAGGTGTTGAAAGTTAAAAGGTTGTTTGTTATAATAATGCGTTTTTTTACAACCTTTTTATAATATTGACATTATTTGGGTTTTTCTGTATATAATAGTATTTATTATATCCGCGCCGCCTAACATGGTATGCACCCATTTTGAAGCATGCAGCATTCAGTGGCGTACATATATATAGAAAAAATGTTATACCTACCAAGTAGAAATCTAAGGGGTGGCATTAAAAATAATTTTTACAGCGTAGATAGTGTTTTGTATTCTCTATATTTTGTCTTTTTAAAAGCTTTTTTTATTTTTTGAGTGATAGTCCGGTCTTTAATTATTACCGTTATTAGGCATTTTATTATACACTTTTGACCAATCGAGTAACTCTAAACTAGCTTATTCCAAAATCATCATGGTCACCCTGGTCTCCTAAATAAATTTTAGCATAATACTTTTTAATTATTTCTAAAATTTTTATTAAAAATATATTATTTTTTTAACTTTGTTACGAAGCTTCGTCATTGGGCAACCTAAATGCCGTTTTTCAAAAAAATGCAGCATATCCATTACGAAAATGTGTTTTGCCAATACATGGGACTTTTGTATCATTGTTATTATTATTAATATTAACTTAAACCCGACTGTTTAATAATAATAATAATATTAATGGCACTTAAAAAAATTACGTGATCTGAAAAAACGCCAAGATACGGGTATAATTTTTTTAAGTCTATTTTCAAAATCTTTAGAAATATTTCATGGGAGGGAAAAATTTTTTTGTCGTACTGTGTTATCTTCACGAAACAATGTTGTGGTATATTCCTTCTCTTTGAGGTAAGTAAAATTTAATCAGACCTAACAGTTCTGGAAAGTTATTTATCAATTTATACAGAAAGATTAATGCAGAATGTTTTCTTCTATTATACAAGTTCACGATATTTCTCAGCTGTGAATAATAATAATAATAATATTTTATTGATCCAAAAAGACAATTAATTATTGTATAGGACAGGTCAGACTATTTACATATATATAATATATATAGGTACTTAAGAAAAAACAGTACACACAGTTAGCTTAAAAAGTATGTTTACATATAACATTAATGTGAAAAATAAAAGAACGTAGGTACTTACTATTAACAAACAATAATATAAAAACAAGTTACAATTGGAATAATTATTTTAAAATTTCTTTTAGGTCATAAAAGCATTTTTTTATTAACATTTCTTTTAAAAGTAATTTAAATGTATTAAGACTTTTAGCATCTTTTATGTGTTGTGGAATATTATTATATAATTTTATGCCAGAGAAGAGTGGTGATTTTTCAAATAATTTTAAATTATGTTTTGGAATACTGAGCATATTAGCATTTCTTGTACTGTAATTATGGTAGCTGCCATTTATTCGTAAGGATGACAGATTTTTTCTAACATATATTGCTGTAAAATATATATAATCTACTTCATCAGGATTGATATTAAGTTTATATGCACAAGTACGTAAGAATTTATTCTGAATTTCCTAAAGGCGTTCAATATGGACAGTGTAATATAGTGACCACACAACTTGACCACGCTTCTCCAAGGCATTCGACAGGAAAGATTTGAGGTGGTTGTTTTACCACGTGCTAAGCCATGCTGTTGATTTATAATAACATTATGAAATTCTGGAGTTAAAAAGTGTAGTAATAGGTTGGGACAATGAATACTTACAATTAGATAAAATGGACACCGGTATACCGCCTGGAGCAGAGCTATTAGGGCCTTTTAGTTTAGAAAATTCATTAAAAACGTCCAAACAAGATAGGCTACAATTATATATGTTAACAGTATTACTATACTTAAAATCAGGTATTATAATGTTTTGTTTTACAGTATAAACTGAAACAAACTGCTGTGCAAATAATTCAGCGATATCCTCAGGATAATCACTGTTAGTATTATCTAGAAACATGGCTTCTTTGATTTGACATACTTCCAGAAGTATTTACAATTAGTTTGGATATTATTCTCAATATTTTTGAGATGAATTAAGTAACTATTAAAAATTAAATCTTTGCATTCGGTTCTCAAAACCCTAAACAAATTGTAATTTTCAGGACTGGGAAAACTCTTAAATAGCTTATGAGCCTTTTTTTCTCAATGATTTTTTCTTTGAGATCATGAGAAAACCACTGAGGGAATTTAGTTCTAAGCCCTCTAATATTCTAATAATATAACTTTGGGGTTTCTTGCTTATAAAAAAGGCTCATTGTTTGGTTTACGTCTAGGAAAGTAGTAACATTGGGTTAATAATAGTAATATAATATATAAATAATAAAAATAACAATAATACAAACGAACTTCCATGTATCTACAAAACCTAAGGAAAGATAGACATAATTAGGGCCTTACTGGTTATTTGAAAGTGGAGATAGTTTTGGATTTAAACCAATACCTATGTCTTGATTTAAATCTAAAAGATATATCCCCTTTTAGCCCTAATATCTAAATTTTAAAAATGTAAATCTACATATTTATTGAGTTTATTTTGTAGGAAATCAGGGCTCAAGAAAACGAAAATGTTCAAAGACATTTTTCAACGTGGGAGAAATTTTGGGGAAGGCCTGGAAATGGTGCTCCATTACCCGAAATTAAAAAACAATGCCTTGATCAATTGTTGTATCCTAAATTTATGCCCATTAGTACTCGTATAGGAATTGCCGCATAGTTAACAATAAATAAATTATTACCTAATCATGTTTTTAAAACAAAGTTGTATCCAAATTTAGTTTGCATACCTAAAACAGATTTTATAAACTAAATTTTGGATTAGTCGTAAAAAACCGTTAGGGGAAAATTATTTGTAAATGTATTTTGAAAGGTTATTAAAAAAAACAATTAATAACTAGTTTTTAAACTTACCAGAATTTATTAGACAAATTAAACAATTAAATAACCTTGGTTTTAAGTGCAGCTGCACTGTTAAGCGAAAATGAACATTACATCTAAATTTGAACCTTGTTATTCTAAGGTACCAAAGTTATAAAAGGTTAAAAATATAGGTTCTAAATTTGTTTACTTGTACCAAATTCCTATCAGTACCTAATAGCGTATGAGGCCAGTAAATCTGTAAATAAAGACTACAATAAAACATATAATTATATTATAATATTGTATATTTCATTTCTATCGTACTATAAAATGAAGCATTATTAAAAATATATTCAGACGATTTTAATTTAAAAGTTAGGCGTTTAATGATATTTCTTTAAATTAAATTTGTTTAAGGACTGATTATTCTCAGAAGACAACTACACCTTAAAAGTATTAATTTATTTTTTAATATACCTATAAGTATTAAAAATATTTTTTTAGTAACAAAATATCTAATAATTATTTTTAAATGTTAAAATGCTTATTTAACTGTTTATTTGGCAGGGGTCGCTAATCATAGATAAGTAAAAATGAAAAACACCAATTTAAAGTACATTATTCCGACTTTAGAAAAAAAAAGTCTAAAATTAATGTGTGAGATCAAAATTTAAAAATAATGTTTATATAAATTCATACTGCAAAACCATATTTTATAATGGTCATATTTTATTTAATAAATTGCATGTGACAATAATTATTAAAAATGAGCCAAATTTTAGTTAATTTAAAAGTGCTCCACCATTTTACGTACCTACACATACATATTTAATTTTGGATAGTACCTTATGTATATTTATTTTGTTTTGCTGATAAACAATTTATTTATTTATATATCCTAAAATATTAATTTTGGAAATTTGTATGACCATTTTTGTAAAAAACTAAATTTCTTACAAAAAATTTATTTACTTTTGCTAAAATTTTAAATTTTACTGCACAAAAAAAAGGTTTAGTTATTGCTATACTACATTTGTTTTCCTTGTGAAAAAGAGGGCAAAAGGTCAAAAATATGGTTAATTTAATTGATAAAAGAAAAAAAACATTCAATTTAAAAAAATGGACCTTTTTTTACGGTAAATATCTATACATAGATTGAATGGTACAGAAGGCAAGGTTACTATTTAAGTACTAAAGTAAAATTTACTTGTCAAAAATGTTGTTTACTATTGCAACAAAAGTATTGTTATTGATTATATTTTAGTGTGCATAATTGTAAAATCTAGACTATTACTATAAATAAATTATTAATAATATATACAATTATTTTAAAAACTAAATTTAAATATTAACATACTCACCTTAAGTAAAAAATTGTCATTAGGAACAAAAACTATTTAAAAAATAGCATGTTAAGGTGCAGTTGGTTGGGTAAGTTAAATTGTTTGGCATCGTCCTTGTTAGCGAATTTAAAATAAAACAAAAATTAAGAATTTTCTTTAGAAACAAACCGGGTGTGTCCAAAACTCTCTAAATAAAAATTAAGCAGGTCACAGGTGAAGAGATTCCACTTGGAGTTTGCATATTCTCCGATAATGTTATTATGATCTTCGCCGGAGAAATTCACATTTAAGTTAGTCTTCCTCAAGCAGTGCTGGTGGTATAAGTGCGCTTTCTTTGGATCTACTCGAAACATATCATCAAGATGCGCCGGGTAATAATCGATTTTTTTTATTTATTTCTTCTGCAAATTGCCTTTGGTTGTGGATTGTGCGTGACGGTTTCGTTTCATTATTACGGTCTTTGTCTTTAAATTATATACATACACATAACATTTTTGTTATTATTTATCCATGTTTTGTGTATAAGGATTTTATTTTTAAATAAACAATATTTTGTAAGTTATGAAATAAGATTACTTTAAACGGCAACTAGGTCTTAGAATTAATTAAAAAGTTGAAAATAATTAGTTCGTTAATAAAAAAATAATTGTCACTGTAATTGTAACTGTAAATTTAAAATCGGGAGTGCTTCTGAATTAAGGGGTTCTTTAAAATATGAAATTTTACAAGAATAAGAAAAAGTCACCTGCAATAAATAAATATTTTTTTGTTTTATTATAAATTCTGGCGATAAAATATAGGCCGAGTAAAATTTTGTTCAAACCATTAATTTATAGGAGCGTTTTCTTACCCACTGTGAAATTTCATTGTTTCTTGCACTGGACCTCTTAATTGTTTTTATAATTTGGTGGTAATTTTATGAAATTTAAGTTAATTAAAAATTTAATGAGGTTTTTTAAATCACCAAGTTATTTGACGTTTTTTGAGGCCCTATAAAAAACTACCTACATACTTTTTTCAAAAAAAAAAAACAATTATTTTTTGTGCGGACAAAATTAGATAAGGATAAGGATAATAAAAACAAGTGGACACAGTGTGACACAGGGTGTCCTAAAAGTTTCGCACGAACGCCATACTCACATATTCAGATATATGCCATACCACGTGATAGGAGGTTATTTTTTATGAGTAGTTTTTGAGTTTAACTTATAATATAAGGTTTTTAAAAGTGAATTTTATTTTTAAGTGAAACTTTATAGCGAGGTAGTGAGTAAAAAAATATTACGGAAATATTAACAGTTTTGGTGGTGGGGATGAATGACAGTGGGATTCCCAGGGAATGCGTGAACGTAGATGGGATCATATTGGCTTGTGTCCGTAGCGTAAGAAATGCATGGCAGCCATGCATTTCTTACGCTACGGACACAAGCCAATATGATTCCATCTACGTTCACGCATTCCCTGGGAATCCCACTCTCACTAGTTTTATAGTAAATCGCAGGCGCAAAATTATATATATAAATATATATAAACTTTAAATTTCCTATATATATAGAAATTTTTAGTTCAAATAATGCCGCTTGAGAATGAGGGCGCTTTGCGGTTATCAACTAAAAAGCACTGTTGCCAGAGTGTGCCAATGCAAAGTTTTGGTCAGTGTTCCAACATAACGTTTCGCCAAATCTAGCAGATTTTAATAAAGGTCGAGGGAAAAAAGATACTCTTACGAATTTTTTAACGGAAACATAAGATTTGTCATAAGATTTGTACCTATATAATTTAATTTGTAAGGGTCCAAGTTTTAAAAAAAATTCTTTAATTTTTTTTTTAATTGACAAGAGAAGCAAAACGTAAGATTTTTTTTTTTTAATACCTATTAGTAAAACCGAAGCCGTGTGTATTTAGAGAAATAGAGGCGACCAAAGAGAAATTTTCTCTTCAATAAAAATAGACCAACAGACCAATATATTACCTATAGGTATTTAAAAAAACTAAAATCCTATACTTTTTGCCATCATTTTGTTCCGCTAGATCTGGTGGAAGATCTGTTATGTTGGAAACACTGACCTAAACTTTGCATTGGCACACTCTGGCAACAGTGCTTTTTAGTTGATAACCGCAAAGCGCCCTCATTCTCAAGCGGCATTATCTGAACTAAAAAGTTTCTAAATATATAGGAAATTTAAAGTTTACATATAAAACATATTGTTATATATAGCAAAAATAATTTACGGACAAACGGCGCCTCATACAAAATCACTTAATGACTAAAGGGATAAAATAAGTCAAATGAACAATTTTGAAAAGGCTATAAGCCAAGCCGCCAGTGGTTAAAAGTGTTTTTGACCTTTATTTACAATTGAATGGTTTGAAATGTCGCTGAAATACCTTCTTTAAAGAAATATGTTTTTGGTACCACTAAACCATAAATCTTGTCATACTCTAATGATATAAATTTAAATTTATACTTAAAAATCTAAACTCAGATAAAATAATGGGCAAATATTATTTACATAGATAATGTGATATTTTAAGGCCCGGATTATATAATAGGCTGGCTAGGCTATAGCCTAGGACGGCAAATTTTCCTTAAATTTTTTGTTAATTTATTATCGTACTGTTATTATTAACCCATTTTTAAAAATACGCTTGCACAACTTTTATTGCATATTTTATTACCTATTTTGAGTTATTGTAAATATATAAAGCCTAAACTGAGACTCTCAGTCTGAGAGAAAAAAATGGTAATTTCCGAGATAATTTTAAATACTAGTACATTATAGACCAGGCGGAAAGAGCACATATTATAGCCGAGCATACATTTCACTGCCGAGGCAGGGCGATAGGCTTTTGCCGCCGTGTTTTATAAACTTTTTTTAACCAGTTAATTAAAATATTACTTTAAGATTCTGTTACATTTTTTAGGTACGGTTCAACTAACATGATATTTGAGGAGCGTTTATTCAAAAAGGGACATGTCCATTTTAGCGATTTTCAGAAATAAGTCAAAAGCAAAAGAATTCTGTTATTTTTGACTTGTTTCTGCAAATCGCTAAAATGGACATGTCCCTTTTTGAATAAACGCTCCTCATTTTTGCTTCTTTTTTGTACGGAGTTTTATAATAATTTCACTTTTCAACTAGTATTTTTATAGAAAATTATTATACACTTAGAAACAAATTATTGATTTTAAATTTAATTAAAAAGAATTATTTAAAATAAAACTGCATTTCATAATTTTAAATAAAATTATTTTATTCAAATTCGTTGGTTAATTAAATTTGGAATTTATATTTTTTGGTTACAGTGGCGGACACACAATTTTGAACGTCGTAATATGGTTGTCCATGTATAATCTGTAAATAGCAAAGATAGTCGTTCAAAATTCCGTGTCCGCCACTGTATCAAAGGCAGCAATTTAACTCAGCCTATAGGGGGCAAGTTTGTAAATCCGCCTCTGGCTGATTCATGGTAATAGATATTTATTTAAATTTATTATACATTCAAATATGTATATTTAAAATGTAGGTACCTGTTAATCGTTGTGTCAATAGTTGTGTTTTGTAGTTTTAGATATTAAAATTTATTGCGTTTTATAATAAAACTTTTATTATTATTTTTAATTTTTATAGTAAATGGCTTTGATGAAAGTAAAAATATAATTTAAATTTTAATAGTATATTATGTATCAAGTTTGATAAACGCCATTTTATACACGAATTTAATTTAGGCACGAGCGAGCTTGCGAGCGAGTGCTTAAGTTAATGAGTGTATAGAAAAGTTTATAAACGAGGTGCATACTATACTTTTTCTACGACAAATACTTATTATTATCTTAAAATGATTTAAATCAAAAATTTGTATAGAGCGTCATCTATGAAACCAGAGGGGAAACAGTCAAATATCACATTTTTACATTTTATAAACACAATTATAAAGGTTATAAATCGAAATGCATCTTGAAAATTGACAGTTTTTCACAGTGAAAGTAAAGGAAATGTTTTATGAGGACTTTGCAGTAGAGTCCGTGCCCGAATTTAAGTTATAGTTTAATGCCGGCGAAATTAAAAGGTCAGTACACAGTTCATATAAACTTTTCAAATATTGGCGTTGAGAAACTATTTAATATTTTTGTATTTTTGTATTGAGATAATAAAATAATTTTCACATTTAGTATTATTTTACAATAAAGGCACTTTATTTTAACGATTGTATGAGATTTGACAACTGTCAACTAACTTAAAACTAACTTCAGCCCGTGACTAAAGCGCCGTAAAGCCACAACTTGTCAATGTGTATTTAAAAGGTCACTTAGTGTCATGGAAACATTTACGATAAAGGGCGTTTTAAAGGTGGGAGTAGAAAAAATAATTAATATTTATGTTTTTTATAGTAGGTATTGATGATAATAATATATTATGCAAGTTTGATAAACGGCATTTTAGTGACGAGTGGGCTTGAGCCTAGCTTGAGTAGCAGTGTTGACTAAACGAGTGTCAAGGGAAATTTTTTAAAATGAATTGCATACCAAATACTTAAATAAATTAATTAAATGTGACATCTGTCAGACGATTCTAACCTTACTTTCTAAAGTTCATTATAGTCCCTTTATTGTGACGATTGTATGACATTTGACTCTAACTAATAACTAAATAAATAACGAACTTGGAACTTCAGCCCGTGACTAAAATGACAAAAAAAGGAGATTCCTCGAGCGTGAATATAGGTAGTTAACACGGAAGCGGAATCTCCTACCGCAAGAAATATTTATAGCATTGTTAAAACGAATTATGAACAATTAAAGAATTTAATTTGATATTTTACCTGACAAAGGTTCAATTATTTTTACAGCCTGGGAGATAATTAAATACTTTAGTGTGAGCGTTGACAATAATAAAGCTTAAGTTGTAGAACGCTTGTAGATTAAATAACATGTTTTTTAAAATAAAAACGTGAACATAATTACTTGTCAATATTTATTAATTAAGTGTTAATGTCAAACACAATTATAAAGGTTATAAATCGAAATGCATCTTGAAAATTGACAGTTTTTCACAGTGAAAGTAAAGGAAATGTTTTATGAGGACTTTGCAGTAGAGTCCGTGCCCGAATTTAAGTTATAGTTTAATGCCGGCGAAATTAAAAGGTCAGTACACAGTTCATATAAACTTTTCAAATATTGGCGTTGAGAAACTATTTAATATTTTTGTATTTTTGTATTGAGATAATAAAATAATTTTCACATTTAGTATTATTTTACAATAAAGGCACTTTATTTTAACGATTGTATGAGATTTGACAACTGTCAACTAACTTAAAACTAACTTCAGCCCGTGACTAAAGCGCCGTAAAGCCACAACTTGTCAATGTG